GGCCCCTGGGGATAGCATAGTCCCAATTTTACATATAAAAATATTAAGATACATATAGTATATATACATATAAGAATATATAAGAATCTCATTTTCACCCAGACATATTTCATTGTTAGCACTTCATGAAAAATAAGCATGAATGAAAAGTATCAAGTCATATCCTCTTGAGATTTTAAAATTGAATAACTTACCGGTACTTTTTTTTAGATAAAAACAAGATGTGTTTGTGAAACACTGATGCCCCCATATGGCAACTTATAGCAAAGGTTAAACTTTCTCAAATGCAAATCAAATAAGTTGATACCCAAAGTAAGGTCTTGTCTCGAGGAATAAACCTGTGAAATATGAAAGGCCTAGCAGCAACCATTGAATAGATATGGAAAAGGTTAAAGTTTTTTTTCAAAAGTATGTCAAACATCAAGGTCAAAATTAATGGTGCCAAAGGAAAGACCTTCTTCCAAGAAATACACAGGTGAAATATGAAAGCCGAAGCACCAATCATTCAAAAGTTATGGCCAAGGTTAAAGTTTTCCAAAAGTAGGTCAAACTCCAAGATCAAGGTCAAAGGGTCAAAGCTGTTGGTATCCAAAGAAAGGTCTTGTCACAAGGATTACATATGTAAAGTAGGAAAGCCCTAGCACCAACCGTTCAAAAGTTATAACCAAGGTTAAAATATTGCAAAAGTGGGTCAAACTCCAAGGTCAAGGTCAAAGGGTCAAAGTTGTTGGTATCCAAAGGAAGGCCTTGTCACAAGGTTTACACATGTGAAATATGAAAGCTCTAGCACCAACCGTTCAAAAGTTATGGCCAAGGTTAAAGTTTGGTAAAATTTTGCAAAACTGGGTCAAACTCCAAGGTCAAGGTCAAAAGGTCAATTATAGTGGTACCCAAGGAAAGGTCTTGTCATAATGAACACTCATGTCAAATATTAAAGCCTTACCCTTGACAGAGCAATAGTTATGGGCTAGTAAAAGTTGACAACAGACAGCCAGACAAACAGACAGACAAGACAAAAACAATACACCCCCAGGATCTTTCGATCCAGGGGCATAAAAAATCTTTCAAAGAAATCATAAAGAGAAATCATAGTTTAGTATGTAAACGTTAACTAAATATATCTTTCAAAGATTTCTTAAAGATAAATATTGTAATGTAAACTTGAATTTAATTCTGGTTGTAATATGCTTTAATTGACTGGATATAATGTTTAATCTGTGTTGCCTACATCACAAATATGTTGACTTGCTTCAAAAACGTATCAATTTGCCTATTCTAAATTTTGTGCATTTTAATGCCATATTTGAGGACAAATCATCTATTTTCTTTATAAGGGATAAATTTTAAAGTTACCCATATAACCTGGATTGGAATAGTTTACGCTTGTTATAAACTAGCAGCTTTAATTATGTTTCATAAACCATAAACTGCTTCAACCCAGGTCACAACTTGTGTAACTTTAAATTCATTCCTAAACAAGATGTGTTTGTGAAACACTGATGCCCCCGTATGGCAGCTTATGGCGAAGGTTAAAGTTTCTCAAATGCAAGTCAAAATCCAGGCCAAAAGATAAAAAATGCTGGTACCCAAAGAAAGGTCTTGTCTCCAGGAATAAACCTGTGAAATTTGAAAGCCCTAGCTGCAACTGTTCAAAAGTTATGGTGAAGGTTAAAGTTTTTGAAAAGTAAGTAAAACATCAAGGTCAAGGTCAAAGTTGTTGGTATCCAAAGGAAGGTCTTGTCACAAGGATTACATATGTGAAGTATGAAAGCCCTAGCAACAACCATTCAAAAGTTATGACCAAGGTTAAAGTTTTTTGAAAGTAGGTCAAACTCCTATGTCAAGGTCAAAGGGTCAAAGTGGTTGCTATCCAAAGAAAGGTCTTGTCACAAGGATTACATATGTGAAGTATGAAAGCCCTAAAAGTTATGGCCAAGGTTAAAGTTTTTCAAAAGTAGGTCAAACTCCTATGGCAAGGTCAAAGGGTCAAAGTGGTTGCTATCCAAAGAAAGGTGATGTCACAAGGATTACATATGTGAAGTATGAAAGCTCTAGCATCAACCATTCAAAAGTTATGGCCAATGTTAAAGTTTTTCAAAAGTAGGTCAAACTCCTAGGTCAAGGTCAAAAGGTCAAATGGGTTGGTATCCAAAGAAAGGTCTTGTCACAAGGATTACATATGTGAAGTATGAAAGCCCTAGCTCCAACCATTCAAAAGTTATGGCCAAGGTTAAAGTTTTTCAAAAGTGGGTCAAACTCCTAGGTCAAGGTCAAAGGGTCAAAGAGGTTGATATCCAGAGGAAGGTCTTGTCACAAGGAATACACATATGAAGTTTAAAACCCCAAGCCCCACTGTTCAAAAGTTATGGCCAAGGTTAAAGTTTTTCAAAAGTAGGTCAAACTCCAAGGTCAAGGTCAAAAGGTCAAAGTTGTTGGTATCCAAAGGAAGGCATTGTGACAAAGAACACACATGAGAAGTTTGAAACCCCAAGCACCAACTGTTCAGAAGTTATGGCCAAGGTTAAAGTCTCATAAAATTTTGCAAAAGTGGGTCAAACTCCAAGGTCGCGGTCAATTATGACGGTACCCAAAGAAAGGTCTTGTCACAAGGAATACAGATGTGAAATATGAAAGTCATACCTCCAACCAATCAAAAGTTATGGGCAAGGTTAAAGTTGACTACAAACAGACAGACAGACAGGACAAAAACAATATACCCCCGGGATCTCTCGATCTGGGGGCATAAAAAAAAAATAAAGATATACAGTCAATGCTTGTTATCCAGAACTCATTGCACTAAGAAAAATTTCAAGATATTAGAGTTTTCAAGATATTGAGGTTAAAATACATAAAGAAAACATAGGTAATCAGAGATTACAGAGCTCACCTCAACGAATGTTGTCTTTAAGTAAGGCAAAGTCCTTAACTAAACTCATAATCTAGTAGTGTGCATCCCTAGATGCAACATTTATGCACTTTTGGTCTGATAGGGCTTGCAGTTACTTGGAAATAGACTTATCTGAAAACTTAAAACTAGTCACTCATCCATAAAATGTAAGTCAAATCCAGCATCCGAAGCAAGTTTTGAGATTGTTTGTCCCTTGATGCATCATCCATGCAAGTTTGGGTCAGATAGGCCTTATAGTTACTTAGAAATGAGATCTGCTCCAAAAACTTTAACCTGGTTATTCATCCGGAAAATGTAGGTCAGATCCAGCATCCGAAGCAAGTCCAGTAGTGTGAATCCTTAGATGTATCATCCATGCAAGTTTGGTCAATATAGGGTTTATAGTTACTTGATAATGACATCTGCTCCAAAAACTTTAACCTGGTCACTCATCTGGAAAATGTAAGTAAAATCCAGCATCCGAAGCAAGTCCAGTAGTGTGCATCCTTAGATGTATCATCCATGCAAGTTTAGTCAATATAGGGCTTATAGTTACTTGGAAATGACATCTGCTCTAAAAACTTTAACCTGGTTACTCATCCATAAAATATAGGTCAGATCCAGCATCCGAAGCAAGTCCAGTAGTGTATATCCTTAGATGTATCATCCATGCAAGTTTGGTCAATATAGGGTTTATAGATACTCGGAAATGACATCTGCTCCAAAAACTTTAACCTGGTCACTCATCCATAAAATATAGGTCAGATTCAGCATCCTAAGCAAGTCCAGTAGTGTGCATCCTTTGATGTATCATCCAAGCAAGTTTGGTCAATATAGGGCTTATAGTTACTTGGAAATGAGATCTGCTCCAAAAACCTTAACCTGGTCACTCATCCAGAAAATATAGGTCAGATCCAGCATCCGAAGCAAGTCCAGTAGTGTATATCCTTAGATGTATCATCCATGCAAGTTTGGTCAATATAGGGCTTATAGTTACTTGGAAATGAGATCTACTCCAAAAACTTTAACCTAGTCACTCATTTGGAAAATGTAGGTCAGATCCAGCATCTGAAGCAAGTTCAGTAGTGTGCATCCTTAGATGTATCATCCATGCAAGTTTGGTCAATATAGGGCTTATAGTTACTTGGAAATGAGACCTGCTCCAAAAACTTTAACCTGCTCCAAAAACTTTAACCTGCTCCAAAATCATTAACCTGGTCATTCTTTAGCTGAAATTGCAGCATCTGAAACCTTGACTGGTACAATAAAACACACTAGAAGCATCCTCCGTGCATCTCTGACTAATATAGGCCATAGAAGTACTTGAAAAGAAAACTGCTCCAAAAACCTTAACCTGGGACGCCGACGGTATTACATAAGCTCCCCCAACTTCATTGAGGTGAGCTAAAAATGGTCGGGACTTCCAACTCACTTTAACATAACCATGGCATTGAATAGTTATTTATCATATAATTAGTAGTAAATACACCGATTCCACACTGTGCAATACGGATGACGTCACAATACTCCATATTAATGACCAGTCCAAAAACCCATATCACGTATCAGACCGGCATACATAAATCCATATCAAACCGTAAGTAATGTTTTTTAAATAACTTTTATGAAATACATGTATACTCGTACATGTAATACAACTCATATAATCAAATATTTTGACCTGATTATTTTTTAAAATGACCAAAAATTGAATATATTAGATTTTCAAGAAAAAAGTCAAAAGGCATGAAACATTCTTAATGACTTTAAGACAACTCGCATATTAAACATTTTAAATATACGATAAAGAGAATACTACATACTAAAATCCATAATTTCCATATCATATGTCATATCAGCCCTCGGGCCCCATATCAGCCCTCATGCTGATATGGGGCCACTCCGGCTGATATGACATATATCATATGGATTTTAGTATGTAATATTCTCTTTTCATCACACAATTGAATAGAGAAATTTGAAAATATTCATGGATAAATGATCCCTGCTTGAACATCTTATTAAATGCAATAGTGTCCAAGCATAAATTAGGCTCTCAATTTTGGAAGGGATGATAATCCATAAGGATTATGAAATAACAATCTTCACATCATTATAAATTACATACTTTATACAAAAACAGGGAAAAAATACAAACATAAATAACAGTATCACTTATCTATAACAAACACCACTGATCAATGATTACAAAACATGTATAAAGGTGCTGCAAAACATACTAAACTAGTGTCTAACATTTAAAGATCACAGTTTGATTGTGAGTCAAGAGCTCAGATATATCGGTAATAACATACATTGCACACAAAAATAGGGAGAATTTATCTCGGAAACAATCTAGCAGATTAACTGAATCCAAAACTTGTAGAGTATACACGTATGTACAGTATCATTCTGTTCATTACACAAGAAGTGTTTGTGAAACATTTTTTATAAGACATAAATAGGTCTAAAAATTTAAATAAGTTATAATGTCACATTCTTTAAATTAATTGACCATCTTTTTGGCTGGAGTTTTTTAAAATGACTGTAACATAGCTAGGAAATGGTCCTTACAAAAGAATACATGTCAGATCTAGAAATATAACACTGTACAGGTAAAAACTGCTAAAAGTGCACTCACTGAGGAAACAGGTCAAGGTAATTAGCTGCTTGTACATAATTTCATTCAAAATATTTCATACCTATTTGATATACTGATCTTGAAATTAAATTACTTGTAGCTCACCTTAATATCTGTTCTTCAACCATGAACAATAATTGTACAAGTTTGGTAAATGTAATTATACATCAATAAACCAGTTACAGAAGAAATATCTTGCGGTTATCTAAAAACTATGTGTGCACTACAATTATGCTATATATCTGGATTGACAAAACTCTGTGCATGCATATAAACAAATCACAAGTAATGTTTCTATAAATGGACAAAAATTGCCTCTGATGTTTAATACAAATCTATCAAAGCCAAGAAGCACTAAAATAATCAATACATATGGACATACATTCAACATAGTTAAGATATTTCACTCAATTTACACTTGATACCAGTTCATATAAATCAATTTTCCAGAACTTTGCTTGCATAAGAAATATAGAGCAATAAATTCTTTCTTGTCCATAAATTTTAATTTATTAGTTATCTTTAAACAGGAAACATTAGGGAGTGCTAAGTAAAGGACTGATATACATTACACATTAACATTTAGACAGTTTGACTAGGACATGCAGTTATACAACGTCTGCCTTCAGGGTTTGCAATTTCTCTACCGGTTCAAGGCAATATGTCATTTTGACTTCACTATATAGAATAAAGTTCCTGGTAATTTGACCAAGTACATTTGGCTCCTCTAAGTAATGCTCTTGTATTTTTCGGCAATATTTATGACTCCTGTACCTGACATTGAAAACTGTATAATCTAGTCTTGGCACAAAATTTCAAGGATAAACATGATATAAAAAACATTATGATACAATTTAAATGCAGCAGAATTCCTGATGTAAAAGATACATTATCACAGAAAAGAGGAATATAAAAAACAATATAACACGTAAGGCATCACTGTATAACAATCAAAAACTAGAAACAGCAGTAGATCACCACTGAGGCCCTCATAATGCTGAATAGAATGATGACATCACAATGTTCTGACATCACAATAAATAGTACTCATATAACACCATGCTGAGTAATGTTCTGTAATCTGGCACAGACATCTGGGTCAAATTGATAAGACTGAAAAACCAACACAAAACATCAATACACACTCAGCAAAAAATTGTCAAGCAAGCAGAAAGAACTGATACATGTATTAATATAATTTTTATCTGTAATATTTTTCAGACAATCATTACATTTTGCGTCTATATACAAATGATCTTTTAAGTGTCTGAGACATAAACAGTTCAGTTTCAATCATTGGTACACTGGGTTAATAACTTTTAATATTTACACTATACAATTATTGCTATTTTTGAGGTCAATTAATGATGATTTAGCCACCAGAGGAGTACAGTATTCACAAGTTCTTCATGTTCAGCGAATATTTAACTTTGAAGGTGACTGAATCATCATATTGACTGAAAAAAAACAGCAATTATTGTTTCAATCATATGATTCAATGATCAATTAATAATTGATACAAACTTGGTAAGCAAACTCTGCCATGTTTCTTGATTGTTTACATTTGTTGAAATCCTAGCCAAATGTAGTGATAGAAGCAGGATAAAACAACATAGTTTTATTACTTTGAATTTCTTCACCTATTTTTGATGTAGTAGGGGGAAAAAAGATGTGAAAGTCTGATGCAGATGAAATACCTTTTCATAACCAATTTTATCAATTTAGAAGTTTTTGATCTATTTTTGGTCCAATGTAGATAAAATAAATGTATCTTCACCTGGAAGGTCAGATACGTGCATAAGAAATATGTTTTCAAAACTAATTGTATCAATCTGGAAGTTTTCAATCTATTTTTAGCCAATGTAGAACAAATAAATGAAATATGTTCACCTGGAAGACCTTACTGCAGGTGAACATAACTTAGTAGAGCTAGGAATTGTTCAATCATATAATAAAAATATTTATTTCAATCTGTGAGATTGGTTGTCTTCCTTTGTCAAATTATTTGTTCATATATTATAAAATATGAATTCTCATCCACAGTAATAAAAAGAATAGTTAAAAATTACAACAAAGAGCCCATGGGCCTTAATGATCACCTGAGTATCATGGGTTTTGACTCTTGATATGACCGACTTGGTGCCATGTAAACCTGGATCTCTAAACTTGTGTCACACCTTTTAGTAACGAAGATTTCTGAAGGTGTAATGTATTTTCATTATATGATCAACTTATTATCCCATCCTAGGGCTTTAAACTCCAAAAATTTTACAACTCTGGTAATCCTAATACAGTAAAACTCATTTATAATGAAGTCACTGGGACCTGTGAAATTACTTTGCTATATCCATAATTCGTTATACCCGTATAAGGAATTTATTAAATTTATATAGCTGGGGATCCAAAAAACTTCACTATATCCGTGAATTCGCAATATCCATGTTTGTACTAAATGAGTTTTACTGTGTATGAATAATGACTAATTAAACCCTATCCTAGGACCTGTGTCCTGGACTCAGGGGCCATGAATTTTGTATTTCTGGTAAAGGGTTAAGTACTACTTGTCTGCCAGTTTACTGGATAGATGTCTAAGAGTAAAGAAGATTGTCAAAGATGTACATCAACAAGTAGATCAACTCAGCATTTAAAAGACAAGTCTAGAAATTTAAGCTAGAAGCAGCAAAATGGATAGATACAGTCAGATGGGAAGACAGTCAGTACCTAACAGGGTATATATATGGATAAAATTTAAAAGCTGATTTAACAGGATGTACAAAATATTAAATAAAGGTATTCATTTATCTCCCTTGGTGTCAATGATGTTTGTTGCAGAAGAATTTTCAAAAGTTATCTCCCTCTGTACTAAAAATGTTCAAATATTCACAAGAAACCCATCTTAACACCTCCACCCCATCCCATCCTACCCCCAATTCTTTGGTGATCAACCCTGATTGCTCTCTCTTATCATGATATCAGACTTTATTGCAGTTTAACTTTTTGTAAAAATACATGAAACAAAAGGCCCATGGGCCACATCGCTCACCTGAGCACATTGGCTTGGCAAAAGCACAAATCAGTTCAGTATTGAAAAGAAACTACCTGATGATGCTTCCATGTCAGTATAACAAATGGCTTTGCTGTACTTGAGATTTAAAAAAAAAAAAACCCATATATTCCTTTGTAAAAATTTGATCCCCCATTGTGGTTCCTCCCTATCCCAGGCATCATCATTTCAACAAACTTGAATCTACACTACCTGAGGATGCTTCCAAATCAATATGACTAAACATAGCTTTTCTGTTCTTGAGAAGAAATATTTTTTCTATATGTTCTTATGTAAAATTTTTGACCCCGCATTGTGGCCCGACCCTATCCCCGGGGGTCATAATTTTAACAAACTTCAATCTACACTACCTAAGAATGCTTCCATATTAAAATGACTAATCATAGCTTTGCAGTTCTTCAGAAGAAGATATTTTCCTATATATTTCTATTTAATCCTCATTTGTGGCCCCACCCTACCCCCGGGGGTCATTTTTGAACAAAACAGAATCTACCCAACATGCGGATGCTTCCATATAAATATTTCTATATATTAAATCATGGCTTTGCTGTTCTTGAGAAGAAGATTTTTAAAGATTTTTCCTATAAATTTCTATGTAAAACTTTGACCCTCCAATGTGGCCCCGCCCCACCCCCGGGGGTCATGATTTGAACAAACATGAATCTACACTACCTGAGGATGCTTCCATATGAATATGACTCATCATGGCTTTGCTGTTCTTGAGAAGATTTTTAAAGGTTTTTCCTATATATTTCTATGTAAAACATTGATCCTCCATTGTGGCCTCGCTCCATCCCCGGGGGTCATGAATTGAACAAACTTGAATTTACACTACCTGAGGATGCTTCCATATAAATATGACTCATCATGGCTTTGCTGTTCTTGAGAAAAAATTTTTAAGGGTTTTTCCTATATATTTCTATGTAAAACTTTGATCCTCCATTGTGGCCCCGCCCTACCCCCGGGGGTAATGATTTGAACAAACTTGAATCTACACTACCTGAGGATGCTTCCACATGAGTTTCATCTTTCCTGGCCCAGTGGTTCTTGAGAAGAAGATTTTTAAAAGATTCTATTAATTTTTCACTGATTCTTTATTATCTCCCCTTGAAAGAGGGTGTGGCCCTTCATTTGAACAAACTTGAATCCCCTTCACCCATGGATACTCTGTGCCAAGTTTGGTTGAAATTGGCCCAGTAGTTTTGGAGAAGAAGATTAAATTGTGAAAAGTTTACAACGACAACAATGCGGATGACGACAGACAACGGACAAATTTTGATCAGAAAAGCTCACTTGAGCCTTCGGCTCAGTTGAGCTAATAATAATATATATACTTTGCTTTCAAGTGTAGTTTGCACCTGAAGAAAATCAGGTGTTTATAACCTTGAACAATGTTGTTTCCATGATAATATGTCAACTATCAGTAAAGAATTATCTAAACAGATATATGTCCATCCCTTTACTAAGGATCATATCAAATGAACAAATTATAAAATTCATGTTATATCATACTAGTGGCCATGGTGATCATTATACATTTGGGTATCAGCTTGACTAAGAATAGGAATTCTTAAAGATTTCATTAAATCAACTTAATACATGGAATTTTGTGGTCAATATTGTGAGGTACAAATAATTTATTATTCATAAAAAAAAATGCAGTAGTCATCAGAACATTATTACTTTAAATTGCAAAGTCAGACATATTGTTTGTAAATAAGGGCAGCTGACATTAAGCTTAAATGTTAAAGCTGACATTTTATGAAACAAGTGAAATGGCCATCAAGTGCAATCTTCCACAAAATTAAAGTCATTACTGTGCTAGTAGCTCTCTGCCATCAATTAACATAATAAACAATGTAAAAGTATGTACTTATACTAAAGTTCATGATATAGGACTGTGAAATACCGGTATACGGTATTCTCAAAAAACAGGTGGCAATGATACATTGACAGAAATGAAATCTATATGATCTCTGTTAATACTAAACACAATGATATCATGTAAGGAATATATATTCAAAAAAATGTTTGCTGATAAACACCATATATTTATGAAAAGTTTGTGAAAATAAATCTTTGAATTTTAATTAATTTTTCAATAAATTTTAGCTGCTGTATATGATAGGATTTTTTTGTATTGGGGTGGGATGGGGATTGAGAGAAAACCCTTCAAAAAAGAAAAACACTTGATGCTTTACTGTGACAAGGAAATCCCTGTCAAATAAAAGGTCAATCTATCTTCTACTGGCCCTAATTCAAATCTACCTATGACATCATGAAGATAAACTGGATGTGGTCTACTAATTCCTATTATAAAATAGTCTTCTTCATTAAACACCTGTGTCCTGTCATATCCATACTCTGGCCATTTGATTTACTTTATTACATCTATAACAATGTCTTTTGTCTCTCAAAAAAAAAACTTCATTACATGATCTAGCAAACTGCATACTGTGTAGATTAAAAAAGGGAATGTCAGATGAACCATTATGCCACTTGTCTCATTGTACAACTTTAATTTTAATGTGTAAAAATAACCAACTGACAAATGGACATTAATTATAAAACAAGCTTCAGGAATGTTTTTAAGTCTAGACTCTCGGTTGCAAATTGTATGCAGAAATTGTTGTTTTCCCTTCCTGATGAAATTTAATTAGAATTAAATTAAAATGCCTTGTAACTGCACATATGGTATACACGAACTTTAAAGACCAGTCCAAGAATTGTAACTCCTGTAAGACTCCATCTGTATAATAATGAATTCTATCACTTACACTTGTTACAAATCATGGTTCCATACTTCCATAGTTTGGTCCTATTTTAGCTTTTAAAAAAACCCAAACACGATGGTCTAGGCAATGCAGTATATATCAGTGCTATCAATTCATAGGAGGGTTGTTTATCCATAAAGCCTTACACATTTTCCAAGGCATAGTATTTTTTAGCTAGTTGTCTTCCCCTACCATCACTATTGTTTACAAAGGATAAGTGTATGTATGAGTTAATTGTCTATCACTCAAATCGAGGTGTAGCAGTTTATTGTTAAGAGTTGTCTACTCCTTGCTTTATTTGACTACCTTGGAGTATATTTTGTATAAATGGTTTTCTACCTGTACCCTTGCCCCAGTTACCTTTGAATAATATTTTTTGGCTTCCTCCTCATCTTTTTTCACCCCATGCCCCTCATGGAGACATCTAGCGTAGTAGAAGCATCCCATTGCAATCCCCTTAGCAAGGTAGCTGGGCAGACACCCTGTTTCTTCTGCTAATCGCTTGACATCTGAAAATTGTGAAACCCTATGGAAGAAAACCTAGGTGTTAGCAAATTTCCTGCAGATTTCACACTATTTGATAAATAAAGAATATTATACCAAAAAATTATGAAATATTAATTCACATGATTTTCTTCTCATTCTATGTGCAACATTTAACCTATAGTGGAAGTCATTTTGAAATACTGGAAAAGGTTTCAAGCTCATGATATTGATATACAGTTGAATTTTGATATCTTGAATACCATGGACATATTGAAGTGAGTTGGGTGTACCAACCTCCTTTTCTTTAATGTACTTAACCTTGATATCTTGAATCCTTGGACATCTCAATGTTTTTTCTCAGTCCCATAGAGTTTAAGATAAAGAGGTTTGACTGTATTTATATTACCTGTGCACCAGGTATAAAATATTTCACCTGGCTGCCAGATCAGCTGCCTTAGTGTACAGTTTCCTTCTGTAATAATTGGCCACAAGATTCCCCATGGCATAAACATTCCCTCGGTCGGAGGCTTCCTTCAGACAAACATAAGCACTGTCTGCATCCTGTTTCACACCTATACCATACTCATACATCACACCTAAAGCACCTGTCCAAGTGAAAACATAAATCTATTGGGAATGAAATAGACAGAATAACATTCAATGTTCTGAAATAAATGGTTCTTTGAAAATGAGTTTGCCAATCGCTTTGAAGTCTGTCACCTTTATTTAACTTCTTGATTCTATTTTGGAGGTTCTCATCTAATGGTCTGAATAAACGTGATATATAATATAAATAATGATATTCAATCTTTGGTCTTAGGTCACTGAAGATGTAGGTAACAAAATTCCCCCTCCTTCTGTGATTTCACAAAATGAACCATAAACCACAAACCTTGAGATTCTAAACTTCCATTTCCACAAGCTTCATTGTGCCAGAAGAAAGCTTTCTTGAGATCCAGACTGTCAGGTCGAGAGTAAAACATGCCAAGTGTCGTCTGAGCAGGGACGCTAGCTGAGGGATTGCCGTCATCAGCAGCTAATAGCCAGTATCTATAAAGAAGCATTTTCACATCATAACAAAAACATACAGAGACTGAAATGCAGAAATACGTACCCTATAGATATGAAATGGATATATGCCGAATACTGTTCTATATATAAAATTATCAGACTGTTTGAAGCCCGTTAGGGCTGAAAATGGTCTGATAATTTTACAGATAGAATCGTATGAGGCATTTATCTTACTTAAAACATTGTTATTTAAATGTCCAAAAGTTACCTGGAGGAGTCGGATAATTACACAATGAGAATTCTGGCATCAATAGTGTTTTTGTTTTTTTTGTTTTTTTTACCTGAAACCATCTAATAAGTAGACAAAAGAAAAGAGAACAGTTTTTTTTCTCTTTAGACATTAAAAACAGTGATTGAACTTTTTGGTTTCATTTCATTCATTCAATGGCAGTCACTTAGCTTAGCAGGAATTATGGACGGTGGTCAGATGTTGAAGGATTTTATTTGTAACATGGCATTCATTGTTTTATTAAGTTCATCTGACATTGATTGTGTTGGATGATATCATCACTATGGAAATAAAAAATGAGGGGTTTTATCTGAAATTTTAGTTGGATGATATAATCAAAATCTCTGGTTTTAAAAGTGCGGTCATCGGCGAACAAACCTCGTTAAATGGAGAGATTCAAAAATTCTTTATCGGAAATGTATTTAAATTCACTTATTTACAGTGCTGTATCGAAAACACTTAGCCCCAATAGTAAGTGTTACCGTTTTCGCCACGAGGTTAAAACTAGATTTCCTTCTTCACGGATTTGCTGTTTTTGTAACAAATTAATTTCCTTGCATTTGCTTTCCCTGAATTTGTTTTTATCTAACCTTTTTTTTTTTTGGGGGGGGGGGGTTCTTGGCATATTAAACCTTGATTTCACTCTACATTTTGGTTTTTAAATACTGTACGATTTTGTTATCACTGCCGTCTGATAATATATTATTGGACTGCTAATTATTATAATTGGACGGCTACAAGTAAATTTTAAGACTGCAAGAACAAAGGCATGACGTCACAGCAATGTTTTATGTACATATAACAGAACTTAGTGATTTCATTCACAATAAGGGAACATTAAGATTTCATACACATTTGTCACCAATATCCTATGAGAAACACAAAAGTAGACCTTAAGTAACAAACACTGACAAGAAACACTCCAATAAGCCGATTGTTTAGACTCTACCTCAGTGCCTCATCATCCGACTGTTTGACACCATATCCCTGGAAATACGCTCGCCCAATGTTGAACAATGCTGAAAACTTGAGGTGTTTTGCATGCTTGGAATCTGAGAGTGCAATTTTCTTTAGATATTCCACAGCAGCTTTCTACAAAATTTAAATAATAATACCGGTAATCATTGCTTTAAATTTTCCTCATGAAAATTAATTAATGAGCTGAATTCTTCCTAGATACCTACCTCATCTGGTTTGCCTCCCTGTCCGTCATACAACATAGAGGCCAGCATATATAGGGACTGAAAATCAAAATCTTTGGACCGCTCAAAGTAGATTCTAGCTTTGTCAAACATATTCTGCAAAATGAATACATGCACAGGAATTTTAAAAAACAGTTTGTACATTGCTAGGGTCATACAAAATATTGAATGATTCCACAAGATCAAAACACTTCTCAAATCCATACAGGGATTAGGCCTTAAAAATGTTTGTTTCCACAGTAACCACACCTACCAAAATTATATCAAAATAATTAAGAGTTTGCTTGGTTTTAAAAAGTATTAACAATATAGAAAGTTAAAGAAGGATGAAATCATTTATCAAACCAAACCTTTCAGGCTTTGTCACTTACACTTCACAAAGTACATGGTGTATATATATATATATATATATATATATATATATATATATATATATATATATATATATATATATATATATATATATATATATACATACAAATTCTGTTTTCAGTACAAATTAAAAATGGTAAAAGAATTGCTAAAGACAAATGTACTAATAAAGTTCACTTCAGTAAAGCACGGCTTAAAAGCATATTCACTATTATACAATTGACAAAAAAATTATATATATTAATATTTATCATAAATGACAAGCAATTCGTGTTTATACCTGCTCATAATAAAATAAGCCCAGTTGAAAGTAAGCATGCTTTTCACCATTCTTAATCCTTTCTAACAGGATGTTCTCCACTTTCTCCATGAGCTCCTCCTCTGTGAGCGAGCCATAGCCCGGCATTTCCCGTGTCTCCTGAGCAATATCATTGAGGATGCTCTTCTCCTTTGCAAAGGAAACATTGTCTTGTGGAATATCCTTTGACAATTCCATCTTGTGCCAGAGAAACCTAAGCACAGTAAATAAGATTAGTGATATAAATCATGCACATAACAGGAAAAACATAGATACTCTTGTCCAAAATAAAAATCCGTATTCTTTTTTCTCGTTAAACATGTGCAAGCATTCCAATAACACTGTCCAGAGTTACACTGCAAGGCATGTATTCATCGTAAACCTACCCAATTCAAAAATTACTTTCTCACTACATCATACATGCTCTTTATATCACCCTTAGTTTTCAATTATAGGAGTCTCTATAAGCATATAAATCTACGTACAGAATGCTAGAACAGAAACTGTGAATCATAGAGGTAATTCGAACTGTCTTTTAGTATCTTCATTTTGATAGGAATTAAAGGCATATATTTCAATCATACATATGCCTAATGATACAAATAGCGATTGCTTAAGTTTTGAAATTTTTATATGAAAGATTTGAAGGATTCCCTTACCCTGACAACAAGTCCGCGAACCCAAACAATATCAAGGCGAGTGTAACTTTCAAAACCGGAAACATATTCCGGATTAGCATCTGATAAACCTTGCTGTGTTAGTTAAGATAAAGCTAGGTAATAAATTTAATTGGATAATTTGAAAGAAATGATTGATAGCAATATTAACACCGAGCCATTTTAAAAACTGTGTTTCAGATATTTGTTTCTTTAGGAAAGGGGTATTTTGTATTTAAACATATTTTATTGTAACATGATCAATAGGATTGGACACAAGTTTTACCAACTTAAAATTGTCCTCTCCAACACAAACAAAATGACATATACATATACACGTGATGTACAACCAACAAATGTACAATACAAAAAAGTGCAGGGAAATAAGAAAAGTGGGGGGGGGTGCAAAAAAAGAAAGGAAAGGGGTTGTAATAGATACAGAATGGTTACGCTGGTTATTCATAAAAATCTTTTCGATTTTTTTTATATATTTGTGTACTACGAAAGCCCAGTTACGCGTTTATTCGCGAAAGTTTCGCGTTACAACGCGAAATATATATTTTTTTTACCTACGAAAATGAGCTCAATGGGCTTTCGTAAATTTCTACCGCGCAATGTTACATTTCGAAGTGACTGACTTCGGACACCGATCACAAATCGGCATTAAATGTAAATTTTCTCTCTCCAAATCTTCTTGGTTCTGTGGCTGTTTAAAAGGTCTATACTTTTTCCGTCTATTTCCCGCCTGTTCAAAAATTTCTAAATTTTTCCAAAGTGAAATTATAAATTGCTCCAAAAAGACCCCCCCCCCCTTACGCTGTCATATATTAAATCAAAACTTTAACCACTAATTTTTTTTTAGTACTTTCTATAGCATCTTCGATAAAATCTCATCGAATTGACAAAATGAGATGAAAATTGTAAATTTTACAGAACAACTGTGTGTCAGTCTCACGAGGGAACTAATTTTCTTTTTTTCTGGGTATAGTTTTGGCTATAGTAAATTTTCCTTTAGATGCTGGTTGCCCCCCCCCCCCCTCCCCACTTTTTGATGTTATAAGGTCGAGCACAAGCAAAGTCCTGGATTCGGACAGTAAATTAGCTTTTTCTTTTTTGTTGTCAGATAATTTTGGGAAGTTAGCCCCCTCCCCCCCCCCCTTTTGGTCAGTGTATTTTTTTTTTTAATTTGCTTGTCAGATTTTTTGGGGGAAGTTGCCCCCCCCCACCCCTTTTGAAACCGTTGCTACGGGCCTTCATATCAAAAGATTTGTTTCCTCTAGACTTTTGGTAGCCTTGTGAGAGTCTTATTTTTAGGTTGCTCCTTGTGGACATACCATTGCTTACGAAAATATTGACATTTTATTCAAAGATAAACTGTATTCCTTATAGTTTATTCTGTAGACAGCATGACTGTAGAAACCGGGTGAGGGGGTGTCCCCCTCCATAATTTTGACGATGTATAGATACTATTAACCATCCTTATATAGCGATGTATCATCTAAGCCCCAATTTTCAATGCCTATATTACATGTATGTCCATCTTTGCAAAAAGAAAAAAAATGGGGGGGGGGGGGGGTTAAGCCCCCTCCGGTTCCGACGCCTATGCTATTTAGGACTTGATATTCCTTTCTGTAGGGAGTAAGTCCAATATACACACACAGGCAATTGATCCTGCATGGGAACTTGCTTTTACCCATGGGAACCAAGAATCCCTTCATCAGTACCAGTTCCAGCACCACAGAGTACATGTATAATAAAGAAAACATAGCTACTTTTATATGTTTGTGCCCCTCCCATAATATCATCAGATGTGATAAGCTTCTGGTAGTGGCCCTCCAAACTGATAATGTTTGACCCCCCCCCCCCCCCCCAGTGAAATTTGCTTCCTCAGTTCCTATGGGCCTGGATAGAAAAGACAATGTTACATAAATGTGTAAAAATTCATTGATGTGCAAGTAGCGGTTCGTATTTTATGGCGCCAGTCCATGAACTTTTTGACGAAAAAAAAATTTAGTGTATAGAGGGTCCTTAAATCGCTGGGGGGTTGGGGGTTGTACAGGGTTAGCGTTAGATGCAGAACTGTAGCGTTATGGTTTTATATTTTAGTCTTTTACCATAACCATAACCATTAATTATGGTGAAAGGCTACAATATAAAACCATAACGCTACAGTTCTGCAGCTAGTTTAGCGTGAGATTTTACGCGAGATTCTTCTTCGAACGCACTTTCTCCAAGTTTCTTTTACTGCAGTATAATAACTTAATCTACAAAATACATGAAAATATACGAAAAAGGATTATTTAAACTTTTAATTGGCTATTTTTCTATTAATTTTTTTTTCCTTCTCTCAGGAATTGATACAAATGAAGTGGGAACATTAATTAGTGAAATTAATAATTGTATTCCTGAGGTCTGTTTTGGGCATTATCAATATCCATTATTTACAGTTCATCAAATTGTAAGTCCTTCGATCAGAAAATTGTCTTATAAGGTCAATTTATAATTATGATTTTAAGAATATGTCTACAAATTGGATCATTTTTGTCAAACAGACACTTTTATCACATGGTTTTGGCGATGTATGGTATTTTCCCGAGTCAGTAAATGAAAAGGTATTTTTAATATATTCGATCAGTGCATATTATCTATTCAAGATATATTACTAAAGTCAGGTACTCTTCACACAATTGCTCCGAAGAAAATAGTTCCATTCATGATCAGTAGATACAACATTACAACAAATGTTAAGAATAATGATGTATATTTAATTCGTTAAAGAAAACAAAATTAACCTAAAAAGATTTTAAGAAAATCACTTTTCCCCAGAAAAGGAAATAAAAAGTTTTCATATTCCTACGCTCTCTGCCTCCTCAGTCTTTTTCACGAAAATATATAGGTCATCCTTCGATTGATAGTGATAAATCTTTTCACCAATTATATACCTGTCATGATTATTGTTCGTTAATTGCCGTATATTTTCTTTTGAGTGAGAATGTTAATCATTAACTGTGTGTGTTTTTTTTCTCTTTTTTTTTTTTTTAAATAACGGAATGGATATTATTGTTAAACACCTGCAATCGTAACTTCTCGGCAAAGCAACGTGATTTGCCGAGCTCGTCGGAAAGGATCTTCGCACGTGTGTAAACCTAGTCTATTTGGTCTTGCAAGCACAGGTATGTGCACTGTTCGCTAGCGACGCTTAGATCATGTAGAATGGGTATCAGTATTTGCTACGGACATGAGGAAGAACTATACACCAGTTTCATAACAAGTGCAGGTTTTTTACTCAAGCCCTAGACTGGGCTAGAGGGGCTGAGTTATCTAAAACAATGCTAGGTCATTGATCTACTCAGTTTATAAACACGAAAATATACTATTTTTGTAAATAAAAACATTTCTAGAAACAAAAATGTAGTTTATCTTCAAAACGTCTCTATATTCAAAGTCTATATAAAGTGTTAAATGTCGGATTTTATTCTATGACGAAGGAATGTTCAGTGACGCTCCACAGTCGCAACCGATCTCGCGCTTTACTTTGCGTTTAACAACGGCCGTCAATGCATCTCTAGACGAGTCCATTGATTACTCTTGTTGACCCATCTTTAACATCTGCCTATACTTTGAGTGATAGTACTTTAATAGCACAAAATTAAAAAATAAATTAAAATCTATCCTTGATAGTTCTATAGTTTTGCTATTTAAAAAATTGGGCTATCTTTGATCTTTGCTTGGACTTGTTTCGAATTTTTACAGAAGATTCTATCATTGGAAAGTTAGATGGTACACATGTAGCACAGGCCCATAGTACGCGGGATTTTTTCGGAGCCCCCCCCCCCTCTTTCACTTTGAAAACGTTGCTACAGGCCTGTAACATGCTATCTGGATTAAAATATTCCTGAAAATGAGTGAGCTGTTAAATACATCTTTAAAATTATACGGTTAATTATATTTAGTCTATGTTCTATGGGAAATTAAAACTATTTTTTAGGCATCTGCAACGTTGTGATAATAAGTCACTACACGCATGTAACGTTATATATGTACATGCAGTTTCCTTAACACATGCATATTTTAATCAACAAAAGATGTTGAAACTCAGTAGCCTAAATATTATGTCATTTCAGGATATTTATGGCCATTGTATAGTTGACATTCTACAGCTTGAGTATCTCTGACCTTTTATCAGTAAATAGTTTTTTTTTTAAATTAGAAATCATCTGAGCATAATGAAAATTCGAATAAATTAAAAGTCGAATATCTTGGATATGGGGTAACCCATATATCTGTTCTTGTATGTTAATTTTGAACAAAGGCAGGCTGATTGTTTTTTTCAAAAACTAAAAGTAGAGATAGAAAATGCCCATCCTTTAAGATTGTTTAAATATCTAAACCCGACTATGCACCAGGCTGAATATCTCAATTGTATATATTATGAAAAACATAGAAAAGCATTAAGTAGACTCAGATTATCTTCACATTGTTTACGTATTGAGTCTGGTAGATATGAGCAAAAATGTCTTATAAGTGAACGAAAATGTGTATTTTGTACATCTAACGAAATAGAAGACGAATATCATTTTGTTTTAATATGCAAGTTTTATGTTGAGTTAAGAGAAAAATATATTAAAAAATATTTTTACGCAAGACCTAGTATGGTAAAATTAATTGAATTACTTAATTCCGACTCAGAAAATGTACTTAAAAAACTTGGGAAATACGTGTTTGAATGTTTTAAAAAGAGGGAAAACTTTACTCTAAAGCAAGATTAATAATAGGAGATACTGCTGTATAGTTCTTCTTTCATATATGTATATTTCAAGTTATGTTATAAAGCACCTGTGTAACACCTGTTGACCAATGTTTATATTATAAAACTAATGTTATACTTCTGTGGCAATATATGTAATGTATACGCCAATAAAGATACTACTACTTATTGTAAAGATTTTCATAGAAAAGATTTGCCGTAAGGTGTCGTGCTGTTCAATTCTCAACAATCTGTGGGACCGACTCCTGTAGCTATAGGTTCTCAGTGCTATTATAATGGTGATAATTGTTTACCTCAATAGACCAATAAACAATTGGTTGTGTGGATAATAAACATGGTTTGACTTGAGGCTGGTGACTTTAATCCAGTGTGAATTATATAACACCCCTCTATATACCTGAAGAATACCTGCTACACCTGTCAAGCCAGTTTGAGTTGTCACTCAGTTTTACAAATTCAATCCACATAAACATCGACCTTCACTGGACACGGACATATGGTCAAGGTGGAGAATTCTTTAACTTTTTTTTTTTAATCTGACTTTCTGCTTAATATATCGAACCTTAATTTTTTAATAGCTTGAAAACTTGCTTATCATGCTTATAAAGGCATTTATGATATGATTTAATTTTGTGTAAAATTGTTGGTAATAACATAAGAAATGATACTTATATTTTGGCAAAAATTTAATAATGAATGTATCAAATAAAGTTTAAATTGAGTCTCGGTGTTTGAGAGAAAAGGGAAGCCTGGATGAGTTTACACCTGACATTCTGTTTATTATCTTCTTTTTTTTTAAAGGATGTAAAATTATATTTCAAGGTTGTACCTGTTTTGCTGTGAGAACCCCAGCACAGTGACTGAGATTCAAACTCCAAGCATAGCAGTGTGGTAAGTAATTAAGACTAAAGAGACCAATGTGTTGATTTGCTTTTAGAGATAACCCCCCCCCCCCCCTAAAAAAAAAAAAACTTGAGCAGATGTCCAAATCAAACTATATATATATGTACATTTAAATCAAAGCAATGACCCTTTTTTATTGCACACATTGTATGTATCCAAATATGGATTAATAAGTATTTCCCTTGATGTAATTAACAAGTTACTTCTTTTGAGAAAAAAGGTATATTTTTGTTTAATTGTTTTTGTTTGGCATCAGTAAGTCTTTGAGCAATTATTTTGAAAAACAAAAAATATTCCTCTTCCCAAACAGCTTGTTTTAATTGCTCAGTTGAATGTACGTGCTTCAAATCAATTGTCAGCAGGACAATGGAAAACTTGCATTGACCAACCAGCTGGTTCTACAATTCTTTGAACAAGCACAGAACACTGCATTGTATTTCTGTACTATACATTAATATCTGTGTCATCTCTTTGCTTATTGAAAAACTGTTGAAGTTATAATAGAAACATTTTAAAATCAATATATACAAAACACGCATATAATGCATATAGCGAAGTGTCTGCTTGGGTTGAGGAATTTTGATTCATTATGAAAGTAATTCATTGTATCCAATAATAAAGTTCAAAATATGATTTAAAACTAAAGGGCATAAATAAGCTGCATTAAAATCACTTCACCGTGATTGTGAATATATAATAAGCATGGTTTAATTATGTTATCAATGTTTTACTGTACTGACTGTGCTATATCACTTTGATGTAAGCGTGAATACATGGTTTTTGTAACCATGCAAGTTTAACTGTCCTCTTAATGCCCATAGAAAAATCTGGATTAACAATACTTTCTAAATGATGTTCAATCTCACACTGTGCGCACATTCTCACTTTGACAGTCAAGATGAACTTTTACACTATACCTCTGTCGTCAGTGTCATGTGTCATGTTTTTTTCTTTTTTTCTTTTTTTTTGCTTGTCAAGAAATTTCTGGGTTGGAAATTTTTTGACTGTGGTGGATCCCTTACCCCCACCCCCAAGAAAAAATTCCTGGATCCACACCTGAGTATCCCAGGGTTACAGTCCATTCCAATGTAACATGAGCAATACCTGGATAAACAAACTAGCATTGATAAAGCATCTAGAGATGCACACTACCAGTATTCTTTAACAAAGATTCCCCTTGCAGAAATTCCCAAGGGAAAATATGTGATATACCAAACTTCCAAATGCTATACCCATTTTCCGGATGAGTGACCAGGTTAAAGTTTTTGAAGGAGATCTCATTTCCAAGTAACTATAAGTCCTATGTTGACCAAACTTGCATGGATGGTACATCTAACATGTCTAAGGATGCACACTACTGGACTTGCTTTGGATGCTGAATCTGACCTACATATTCCAAATGAGTGACCAGGTTAAAGTTTTTGGAGCAGATCTCATTTCCAAGTAAATGTAAGTCCTACATTGACCAAACTTGCACGGATGATACATCTAAGGATGCACACTACTGGATGTGTTTTGGATGCTGGATCTGACCTGCAATTTCTGAATGAGTGACCAGGATTCAGTTTTTGGAGCAGATCTTATTTCCAAGTAACTATAAGCCCTATATTGACCAAACTTTCATGAATGATAACCTAAGGATGTACATTACCAGGCTTGCTTTGGATGCTGGATCTGACCTACATTTTCCGGATAGGTGACCAGGTCAAAGTTTTTAGAAAAGTTCCTTCCCAAGTAACTGCAAGCCCTATCAGACCAAAATTGCATAAATGTTGCATCTAGGGATGCACACTACTAGATTATGAGTTTAGTTAAGGACTTTGCCTTGCTAAAAGACAACATTCATTGAGGTGATCTCTGTTATCTCTGATAACCTATGTTTGAAAGGGGGGTTCCAGGGTGCCCCCTCCCCCAACACTCATAGATTCACCCACACAGGGAGAGAAAAATCATCCTTGGCTGTGGTAAATAATATCTTGTTTTGAATCCCTTAATTCTTTGGAAAGGAATCCTCTAGTCTGGATAAAAAACAAAACACATTCCAAAAACTACTGTTTTGAATGGATTTGCAATATTTCCAAAAAATACAGAGAAAAAATGTTGAGAATTTGACTGAAAACCTACCCACTAGGAGACAGAAAACAAAGAATTAATTTACTGTGGCTTTATGCATACTCCCTCTAATGACTTATTTTAGCAAGTTCCTTTTAAAGATGATCCAAAAATGGTATAAAGCCAAAGATCGCCGGAATCTCATATCAAATTGAACCTCACATATTACTTATCATATATTGAGATAAGTTGTCCCAGTGACTTCCTTATATCCGAGTTTTACTGTACAAACAAGCAAACAAACAAAAAAAAACTTGAAATTGTGTAAGGTATTCTTCATCTTAAAAAAAAAAAGAAAAATGTTTAGAAAAAAGAATTTTTCAACACTGATTTTCTACTTGTAGGGATGGATGACACAGGGAATAGTTCTGTGCTCGACACATCAGAGGGAGCATTGGTAGTGGATCTATCTCACTGTACAGATGACTCACAGCTCTCAGATACCTCGAGATGCAGAGCCGATAACTCAAGGCTTCTGGACACATTGGGAGACAAGACTGAAGATTCCCGAATGAGTGACCCACTCAAAATTATCCCTGAATCATCTCAGATCCTGGAACGCTCGAACAGAGCAGATACTCAGCAGTCGGAGATTTCTGTGTGTGTCAAAAGTAAGTCTGAGGGGACAATGAATGTGACAGACTCCAACCAGAGTGAGGTGGTCAACAGAGAGAAGACTGAAGGAGAAGAGGTCAATGAAATGTGTGAGAGAGGACTCAGAAAGAGAGAAGTGGACGTCACTCAGTTTTCACACCAGCCTGATCAAACGGACAAGTTCACTCCAAAGAAAAACATTAGGCCTATGTCACTAGGTGGGAAGAATGATATAAATAAAAGTAAATACACTCCCCAGAAAGTGGACCACAGATTGGCCCAGCTGGCTGTTAACGCTTATGTATCTCCGTCCTGTAGGGGGAATGACTTAAAGAAAGAGAATGCTGATGACAATACAGTTTCTAATGCCAAAATAAATAGGAATGACAAATCACTGAAACAGTTAGGCTTGCCTGTTAATGGTACTACATTTGTGTCCAAAGAAAACTCAAAACCTCTTCAACCAAGTTCTATCTGCAATGTTGAATCAACTGTGCTGAAAGCTACTGAGGAAAAAGCCCCATCTTTGTCAGAAAACAGATGTGTACAGCGAGAAGATGCTGGAAGTTCACAGAATTCTTTTTCAAAAAGAGAGGAGCAATCATTTGTGGCTGAGAATAGGCAAATGAAGCCTATACCTGCAGACTTTTATTCACAAGAAATGTCCAGACTGAATTCTAAGCTACAGCAGAGAGAAAAGTCTCCCAGAGTTGAATGGAATGTTTGTCCTGAGGGTGATGATGAAGAAATTGAGGACATGAATGAGACGTGTGACCAAAGTGACCTTAGCAAAATGGAGGATGAGATGGATACCAGTCAAGTTCAGGAAGGAGAACCAGTTCAACCTCTGATGACAACAGATGTTCATTGTGCAATGTGTAACAATTGGTTTATGAACATGAACTCATATACAATGCACATGGCAAAACATGCTCAGATGAGTTCACCACTGCTGGGACTTAAATGTAAAATCTGTGAGAAAATGTATTTGTATGAGATGGAATTCAAAGCTCATGTTCAAGCACATTTAGAAATGCCTAAAGTTTACAAGTGTCGAGTTTGCTTCAAATCTTTTGAGGAGAAATCTGAGCTTCAGCGTCATGTGAAAATTCACCAAGACAAGAAAGAATTTTCCTGCCAGTTCTGTGGTAAAGAATTCCACTACTCATTTAACCTGAAGAAACATCTGAGAACACACACAGGTGAGAAGCCTTACACCTGTGTTTTGTGTGAGCTTAAGTTCACTCATAAGAACAGCCTGAATCGTCATATGAGTTTGCATACTAATGAGACTGAGTTGGAGTGCTCTGTCTGTAACAAGGTGTGTCTTGATAGATGGACCCTACAGAAGCACCTGGCTTCTCATCAGCTCCTCAGCTGTAACCAGTGTGACCAGTCCTTCACCAACAGCAAAGAGCTCCAGAAACATCAGAAAACTCACAAAGAAACAACAAAAGAGAACTCAGCTCCTGATGTTCTAAACAGTCAAACAAAGGAACAGCTTAGCCATACAGACTCTGCTCAAAATAATCCAGGAAATATAGAGATGGAGACAGTCATCAAACCAAATCCTGATCAGAAATCTCGGGCTAAACGGACTAGAAGGTCCATGGAGACTCAGTGTGAAGTCTGTCGTAAAGCTTTTAAGAACCCAGGAAACTACTACCGTCACCTACAGTCAAAAGAGGGAATGCCAATACAGACATGTGATTTGTGTGGTCTTAAGTTCCATGATGTTTATGATCTTCTGAAGCACACTCGACAGGTCCACTCCCAGACATCAGACACCAAGGGATACATCTGCCGAGTCTGTGGACAAAGTTTCCCTGATCTCACTTTACTCACTGAGCATATGTCAGAGCATTTGCAAACCATGAAGAAATCAGGGAACACTATGTCTGAAACTAAAATTTCTAAAACAGAGGGATCTGGGTCACTCTTCTGTTCCATTTGTGGTGAAAAATTCTACAATCCAGTGATGCTTGACTTACACATGATGGAACATTCCTCTTCACAGAGCAGTTCAGAAAATGCTTTAGATCTATCCAAATCGAGGAAAGATGCCACACAACCTCCTCCAAGGAAACGTTTGAAGTTGGAAGCCATTCAGACTGAAGAACCACATGAGTACTATGACAGTGACAAGGAAAATGAGCCACTCAATCTGTCCAAGAAGAAATACTCCCCCAGGGTCAAGGCCAAGGTTCTAGGGATCCACCAAGAGAGGATTCAATCAACAGTACCCTGCATCAGTACCATGCCACTTGTGAACAGTGCTATGCCAATCCATCATAATTCCCAACCTCAGACAAGTCCAGGGAGTGTGGGACTGGATTTATCTTGTAGATCAAAACGTTCAGAAACTTCACATGGAACTGTTGTTGTAGATCAAACACTGTCAAAAGATCAAGAAATGTCAGAATTGAACAAATGTACAGAAAAAGACTTCACAAAGACAGTAAAGAAAGAGGAATTAGGATCCCTAGATAGTGAAGAAGGGGTTACACCTCTGAAGTCACCAAACCTGGACTCAAATATTGCCATGGAAACAAGCCAAGAGGACTTCCCAGATGAGAACTCTAGCTTGACTGACAAGAGTGACTTCCCTGACCATGCCTCTGACCTGAGCAGTAGAGCAGATTCCCCCTCATTGACCTTGACCTGTGAGTACTGCTCCAAGGTCTTCACTGATCCAGTAACCATGAACAGGCACCTGTCATCTCACTACAAGGAATGGGCCTTCTGCTGTAACTATTGTAACACCATGTTCACAGAGGAAGACAGTTACAGAGCTCACACCCCTGTTCACCCTCCCCATAATCCATACATGTGCAATGTCTGCCACAACCACTTCCCTGACAGAATCAGTCTCGGGGCTCATCAGTCTCAAGTTCACCCCCAGGAGAAACCTTTCCAGTGTGGAGTCTGCCAGAGGAGGTTTCCTGTCAAGTCCTACCTGGGATCACACTGCCGAACTCACCTCACTGAGAGACCATTCAAGTGCAATGTCTGTGACCGCACCTTCGTTCACAATTTTAACCTGACAAAGCACATGAGGACACATACAGGTGAAAAACCATACACCTGTGCATGGTGTGATAGGAAATTCAGTCAGAAAAATAGTCTTAATAGGTCAGTATTTAAATTAATGTTGTGTAGAAAATATAATTTGAACTAAAATTATTATGTATTAATAAATCCAATTGGCTAATCTTAAGTTAGTTATAATTACTGAGCTAAAAGATGAACTTTTACTGTTCTCATAGAAAAATCATCACTGCTTAAAATAACCTTTTTTGTATTACTTTTAGGCATGAGAAAATCCATATGAGAGAAACCCCATCAAAAGGAACCCTACCAACTGCTTCTGGAGGTGGTCAGCTCTTTAGCCCAGGTCCGGATCAGGAGGACACCTCACATGGCAGAACCACACCCTACAAATCTGATAGATCCACCCCACCAAGCTTAATCGGTTCAAATACAATCACACCACAGAGCCAGCACAAAACTGGATCAGGACAGAACCGGTCCAGAAACAGCTCAGCCGGCTCAACTGGTATGCACCAGACTACACCAGATCTACCTCCTCAGGACAGGTACCCCAATCTTCCTCCAGATGTTCTACAGCACATATACCTACAACAGATGGCAATGATGCAGCATATGGCTCAACAGCAGCAGCATGGACACAGCATGAACCTGATGCAGAATTCCTATATGATGGCAGCATACATGCAGCAAATGCACATGATGCAGCAGATGGCAAGCAGGGATCCAAAAATGTCACCATACCCACCAGGCAGGGATCCAAACATGTTGCCATACCAACCAGGCAGGGATCCAAACATGTCCCCATATACACCAACCTCTATGGAGTCTATGTCTTCCTACTCCAAGTCCATTGAAAACTATGGTAACGAAAATACTCAGCAGCAACTGAAGAGCACAGATCATTCAGCACAGGCCGATAATAAAGGGACATAACTGTGAGATAAGACTAACTGAAAGGTCTCCACCTTGTACATGATGATCAAAGTAAAGGAAATTTGTGAAATAAGACTAACTGGCCTCCACCTAGCACAGGATGATCATAGTAAAGGGACATAACTCAGAAAACTGTGAAATAAGACTAACTGGACTCCTTCTAGCACAGGATGATCATAGTAAAGGGATGTAACTGTAAAAACATATCAGTGAGAACGGGGTGTTTAAATGAGGTGTTAGTACCTGTCATTTTCATAAACATTAGAAAAAGTTGAAGTGAAAAGGAAGAGGTCATCAAGTTTACTTTTTGACAATGGCAATGCAAACCACACTATAATTAATGAAGTGAGATCAGAACAGAGATAAGGACTATTATTTTTAAAAGCTCTCCATGAACAAGTATTAACTATCCTGTAAAATGATTTTCAACTGTTTAATTGGTAAAATGAATTTGTTAGCATAATTTGTAAAATATTCTGGATCATTATTTTTTGGTTCTTCTTTAGTATATTTCTCAAAGTCCAGATTTAGGATATTACTGTTGTAAATATTCTTAGCTTACAACTGAACTGGTATGTTAGCAAGTCAGTAACATTGCTTATTGGTGTTAAAACATGTATTTTTTTAAATATGAGTTTTAAGACATGGAACATTTTCTTAAAGAATTCTTCTTTTGTTCATAAGAATTTTGTTAATAAACAATGTACTGTAAAAAAAAAATTAAATTGTAATATTTTCTGGTGACACATGCTTAAAATTCCTTACTAAGATTCCATTGTGTTGCATTTACAAATATTCAAAACTGTTGTATATATATATATATATATATATATATATATATATATATATATATATATATATATAATGCTTTGATTAACTTACTATTGCACAAGAACAATGATTTATTTGGTGTCTTTTATGATACAATGTAATGATGTATTTATGAAAAAGAAGGATTTGAAAATTATGACCTGTACCTGCCCAACCCCTGAGATATAGAGAGATCAAAATTGAGGGGGAAAAATTCCAGTGTCTGTGTCCAAAGAAAACCTCGGCGTAGTGTCAGTGTAATTAGCCAAAAGCCCGAAAGTGGTTCGCATGCATTAACTTGCCTGTATGTATGTGTATCCCTTAAACAATCTTGTGGATGCAGTTTATTTTCTGATCTTTCAGTTGTAAACTCAGGCCACAACGGTGATACTGGTGACCAAGGGTACAAGCCTAATTCATTTAAGGGAGCCTACTGGGTTTTGTGTGTGTGTGTGTGAAAAATGCAATAGAGAAACTCTTTACTTTTATGTCATGTATAGCCTACACTGACTCCAGTGTACATGCAAGTACCGGGGTATCAGGAAAATCTACTGGGTATTTTTAGAGATCATCTCAAAATACAGTTACATATACTGTAGGATTGTATAGAATTTTTTTGTGCACTTCAAAGCAAATTGTAGAAACACTACAATAGACTTTACTATGCTCAAAGGTAGGTCGGGACCACTTATGCATTAAAGCTACTCAATACTAAACTTATTTTTGCTTTTTTCCTAGCCACAGTGCTCAGGTGAGCAATGTGGCCCATCGGCCTCTTGTTAAATATTTCACGAGTGCAAAGCACTTGTGGCTGGACAGGGAATCTAAACCATCACCCTTGTATTATTAGTCAGGTGCCATCACCATTGAGCTACACAGACTTACAATTACTTGGTCGAAATAGCCCAAATCACTACATTCTCAAATCTTTGGTACACAGGAACCAGATTTTAAATTTTTTTCTTAGATATAAAAGGTTTTACTGCACCCATAAATGTCATTATACACAATTGAAGTCACCTCCTTTTTCATCAAGGTAGAAAATGTACCCAATTTTAACCAAAATGTACAAAAAATTGACAAGATTTATGCCCCTTTCCTATTGTAATTTTCATAGAAAAGAACTGGGGGGATAAGCCGAGCCATATGCCTACATAACGATCGATAAAAAATCAATAAATTCATTTCACAAAAATTTCACTTTTTGTTGAATTAATGTAATGCTTATTACCATTTGCATATAAATTTGACAAAACCTGAAAACTGTAACAGCGAAAATGATTCTGATTACCGGTAATACAACAAAATGGCATCACGCTCAATTTTCACAGAAACTGACATAAATTGGATGATATAACTACATTTTTTAAATAGAGTGGATCATCGTACCATTTTTTTGAGAACGATTAATGAAAGGCAATGGAAAGATGTTGCTTTTTACACTTGCAAAAATTTGGTATGAAGACCCACTCAACATAAAAAATTAAGTTACCTTACTTAAATTTTCACCGTGGTCTTAAAAATTCTAAGTCCAAAAACGCTTGCTAAATATAGAGAACTGTATGCTATTTAAATGGAAATGTTAGTGTGACTCCGTGGTCTAGTGGTTAGCGATGAGCTCTTTAAAGGGACGTTTATTGAGGAAAGTGTTCGAGTCATGCACTGATTTTTTTTTTTGTTTTGTTTTTTGTTGTTGATTTTTTTAGTTTAATTTTGTTTTACTTTATAAAAAATGTCTATAGGAATAACATATTTTTCACTGGAAATAAAATTTATACATGTAGTAATGAACTTATTTACAGTAAATTATTTAAAATGCCGGATAAAAATTATAATAGATATTTGAATACTTTTATTCCCGTTTTATTTATTTTAAATAAAAGCACTTCTAGATCACCATTATCATTATATACGATGTTAACATTTTTATAATATCTCCACAATAAGTGTAAACACTCAATATGCAGATTAATTAATAGAAGTCCTTACCCATGTTAGACATTTGTGACAGTAAATGAAAGTCAACTGTTTAGCTTGTTTAGAATATAAATATCATTTTGAAAACTACGGAAAACATTAATATGCTTAAGTAAATTCGAACAATTGAGAGATTTTTTCCACTAAATGTTCTTGCATAGCCGAAAAATGGGCATGGGCACATGGCTCGTCTTATCCCCCCAGATTCTTTATTAACCCCAAATAATGCTTTCCCTCATCCGATTTTGTTAGTTTTTTTTAATTCATTTAATTTGTGCATTCAAAAGTTTATTTATTTATTACAAAAGAAATTATGATGCAATTAGTTTGATGTCTCATGAAAAATGACTGGGCTTAAACAGTAAACGTTCTTTGAATTTTCCGCCCTGGAAGCTTAAGGGCGATAACTCCAACCACCTGCTGTTCTTAGCAACGTGTAAACCATAACACGACGAATCACATCGCGTACTAATTTAAGGTTAGTGTAAAAATTAAGGTAAATACACGAATTACTTCCAGATAAAGGGGAAATTGAATAAATCTTTTATAATAAAATGTTCATATCACCGAGTATTAAAAAAGATGGAATAATAATTTTGTATGAAGCGTATTTCAGAACTATTTTAATGCGCAAGAAGTAGAGAGAGGGTTCGTCAAAATGGCGACAAGTGCCAAAAATTCGTTTAACCATTATCAAAATGGAAAATATGGCACTTTACCGGGAAACCCGAATAATAATTCGGAGGTTACACAAGACATGCATCTTAAGATGTCAAAGAAAATCGCACAGCTCACAAAAGTAAGTATTAAGACATCATTTTGCTTATGTGTTAGCCACTTGGTAAACGTAGTCAAAGATGATGAAGAATCTCGATAAATAAATGTCTAGTCAATACATACCAACAGATATATATTATTTAACACTTTATTCCATATACATGTACATCATCTGATTAATTTAAAAAAACGTGTAAAGAACTGGAATTTGATTTAAAATGTAGGGTTGAAAGGTACTCGAATTTCCTCTGCAACATTGTGAATGTCTGGCAGTGTTAGTAAAAGAATAAGTCAGGATATCTGATCTTGTTTTCATATTTGTTAGAGATATGCTTTATTTTTGTTCAACAAAGCTGAAACAGAAAAAAATTGAGTTATTAAAATATGAAATCATAATCGCATAGTACATGCAGGTGCAGTGGTAGGCAAAAAATTCAAAACAAGCGAGTTTATTGGTCTGTAGAGACGATTGTAAAGGGTTAGGAGGTGGATTAAATATAAAGGTTGGTCAAAGAATGTGTCTGGAATTAGGGAGTGAAGAGTAGTTGATTGACCAATGCTGGAAAGTGGAGAAATTCTTCCCAACCATGTGCAGAAAATCTTGCGCCATAAATTACACCATATTTGCATTACGGGATCTGTGGCATTATGGTCAATTAGACTGAAATATAAAACCATAACACTATAGTTTTGCAGCTAGTGGTAGGCCTGTATATTGGATAATACTGTAATTCTTTAACTTTGATTAAGGTTGTTGAATGAATTATTTATTTTTCATTTTGCAAGGTTATATATGCACTTAACACCAAGAATGATGAACATGAAGCAGTTGTCCAAACACTGAAGGAACAACATGAAGAACAAATACAGCAGTTGTTGTCTGAAACGAGGGAGAAAATCCTCAAGTTCAAACAAAAAATTGATAGTGAAAGTGACCACAAACACACCATATCCAACCTACAGAACTGTGTGGCAGAGCATGAAAAGCACAAAAAAGAAGCCCTCAGCAAATTTGAGAACTTTAAGAGACAAGCAGAGGAACGTGAGACCAAACTCAAAACGGAACATTCACAGAAATATCTGGAACTCTCACAGGAGGTCCTGACAGCGAAGCGTCACTTTGAGGAACAGTTGTCTAAGTTTGAATTATGGAGGAAAGAAATGGATTCAGAGAAAGAGAAGACTTTGGATGAGCAGAAAAAAATCCACACCAAGGAAATGGATGAACTCCGTGATTTCTTCCGATCCCAGAACAATGACTGGTTAAATGAATGTGCTAAAATAGAGGATAAATATAAGGTTGAGTTAGAAGGACTGAAAACACAATGTGAAACACTAAACACTGAAAAACAGAAACTCACAGATGACTATGAGTCCAAGCTTGCCAAGGCCAAAGCTTTTTACGAGAAGGAGTTGGAAGTGTTACAAAATGCAAAAGACAGTTCTGTAGAAGATGTAGTGAATCGTTACAAAGAAGAACAAGAGAAACTGAAAAAGGACTTCTTGTCGCAGCAGAAAGAGCTAAAACTTCAAATTGAACGCCTCGTAAATGATTTGTCAGTCAGCGAGGAAAATGTGGACAAATTACGAAAAGAATTGGAGGGTCTGAGGGAGACAATGAAAGACAAAGACTCAACATCATCTGGACTGTTCAAACAGGTTGGTTTAATATCTTGATGCCATTGACATAGATTTAAAAATCTTTCCAAAAAAAAAAAATGGAGAAAGAGTTTAAGTCACAAACTCTGTGAGTGTTTTCCTTAGTTCATGGGATCATTTTTTTTTTGTTCAACAGTTGCAGGAAGCCAAAATGGAGGCAACAGATGCCAGTAAGAGGCTGAAGGAGCTGCAGTCTGAGCTTGTGGCCACCAAAGAGAGATGTAGTCAGCAGGCGGAAGACCTTCAGAAAAAGTCAGGTGAGATCAGGCTGTAACTCTATTGTCAGCATTTGTGGTATTGTCTTAGTGAAAAGAAATGGGATCTGAATGAGCAACAAGACTGTCAGTTACCAAATGAGAAACTTTGAACATGTCTTTTTGTAGTTCATATTGGCCAGCTGGAAGGAACCAACATTCAGAA